ACAAGGAGACCTCCTGCTGCAGTTAGATTCTGACACTGGCCTCTGTGTCTTCCACTCTCTCTCTCAATTTGGCTTACTATCCTACCTATACATTCAAAAACAATAAGTCAGCCCCATTCTCACTGAGCCAGAATGAAAAGGTTTAACAACAGTGCCTAGGATGTGAGTCACTTTCAAAACGAATACATTTATACGCCCCATGTTAGGGTAAAAATGAAAACTGTTTCCTGTAATTTTAAAAATGTCAGTTTCTTATGAAAGGAGATCTCAGATATGTTTTTTCTGGTTTCCTTCATGTGCACCGCGTTCGCCGTGAACACATTTTCTGCGGCAGTAGTCACCTGTTCTACAGTGTAAGTGTCAACACGTTTCTAGAAAATTAGCTGTCTTTGTGAGTTTTCCAGCCCACATGCTGCCAAAGTCCTCAGAAACTCCAGATGTTCCCCAAATCACGCTGGAAGGCCGATAAGGAATCAGCTTTCAACAGATGTCTTGTGCCTGGACGCGTGATTTAGTAGCTGTGAATGATGAAACAGTGTTTCAGTGTCTCGCAGCCTGACTGGCTTTCATCATTATGTGCAAGCAGCTGCGGGTCTGGGTGATGTGATGTCAGCGGCTGGGAACGAAGAGCGAGATGGCACATCAGCTCTTCTCATTTTAGTATCTTTGGGTATTTGGACGTGGAGGACGGCGTCTCTGTTTGCTGGAGCGTGACATCTAAAAATGGGAATGTGGAGATGAAGCACAAATGAGGGAGAGTTTCAGCGATAATTTTAAGGGTGAAGATTCATTCATCTCCTTGAGAAAATAGTTTGATAAAATAATCTTCACTCAGTGTCCACTAACTAGCTTTTTTCCAGATTAGGGATCATGAGAAAAAGCTTGAAAATTGACCTTTTGTTTTTGTTTTGTAAAACTATTTTCATTATCCATCAATATACCCAGATTTCCCCAAATTTTCATGTAATCCACTTTATTTCATAGATTAAGAGTTACAAAATAATGAAACATGCACATGAAGTTCCTAGAGACTTCAATTTGAGTGTTTGGTCCAACAAACAGTCACAAAACCAAAAATATTACATTTGCAAAGAGAAAGGCACAACATCATCTCTCGTGTGGAGCTGGGACCTGCAAATATTTGAAGAACAAATTACTATTGAAAGATTTCATTATTGATTATTCATTTCCAAATGAATTATCCTGGGTCCGAATGCTCAAAATGGCAGCGCTAGTATCAAGGATATTTTGACTTTATTTTTGGATAGTGAGGGGAAGTGAAGACGTGTTGTCTTCATCGTTATATCTGTGGTTTTACCCTGATGATGATGATGATGATGACGACGATGATGATGATGACGACGACGTTGTCAGGGGATCACCAAACTTACCACAATCCATCCAAAGGGGAACATGAATGTCAAATGTCAGCCTCGTGGTGGCAGTATAGTGAATGGGAATCCCCATTAGGATACATCATCTAGGAACCATGAATATCTATATAAAACCTTCATGAGAATCCCCCCAATCCTGTAGCTGATTAGAAATGTTGGTCTGAAAACAAGTGATGACAACTGCCTGACAACCCTGCAGCCATGTTGCTAACGAGGCTGAAAATTGCGCTGTGGGTCAAATGAAAAGTAAAAAGTGGTGAATGCAGAGATTCAACGATAAGAAGAGTCGGGATGAAGGGTGTTGCGGTCGGTCAGGAGAAGGAGGAGGAGGACAGCACAGATGACTGACACAAACAGTGAGGGAGTTGGACAGATGAGAGCCACAGGCGTCAGGAGCGGGGGGGGGGGGGGGGGGGAACAGTGAGGGAGTTGGACAGATGAGAGCCACAGGCGTCAGGAGCGGGGGGGGGGGGGCAGGGTCAACACATCGCCATGTGCATTGAGTGTGGTCCGGCAGCTGTATGCATAGGGGAGCCTTGGCCTCCTGCTCTGCATGTCAGGGGCCATGATTAATGACCTGCAGGCCTGACTCTGCACCACCACCACCCCCTCCTACAGTGAAGTCAGTGCAGCCACTACTCATTTGACTCATGGACAAAGCCACGGACAGACAGACGTGCACCGGAGACGACGACTGGCACACACGAACGCAGTCAGACGCCAAATTAAAGCCGTTTCCCTCGTACAGAATCACACATTTTCCACATTTCCCAGGTAATTACAGGGAGGGAGCGAGGATTTCTTGGATTACTGTGTGTGTGTGCATGGCTGTGTGCGTCTGTGCAGTGTCGAGGCCGAGGAGGTGCCCCGTGCCTCTGTACTGGTTCCCAGCTTGTCAGGCAGCTGTCGAGGAGTGATTTATGACCACTAGACTCCAACCTGTCTTCACTGCCAGTTCAGTATTGTTACAACTGACAGCTAATGAGGCCAGACATGCTTTCAAGCAGAGCACTTAACAGGACTTCAATCTTCCCCCGTCACAAATACCATTTTTGCACTCGCTCTCCCTCTCTCAAACTCACACACACATACACACACACACACACACACACACACACACACCCCTCCTTTTTTTTCTCTATGCCTTCCTTGTTCTCTGTCTTTCTGTGGTGGAATATCTGACAGGCACTGAAAGGGCTTCTGCCTACAGACGGAGATGTTTCTCAGAAGGCAAAGGAAGCAGAAAGAGTCCCACTCTTTCTCAGACACACACACACACACACACACACACACACACACACACACACACAGGTTTACTGGCAGTGGGCATCAGCTAATGCTTGATGTAATCTAATCATCAACTCTTTGTACCCGGTTTCAAGGAGCAGCTACAGAATAATGCTTATGTAGATTCTTGCTGAGGGTTAGAAGAGATGATTGATGTCATTCTTATGTCTGAACGCTAAATATGATGCGAGAAGATAAGATTAGCATAACTACTGGAAACACAAGGAAGAAGTTAGCCTGGCACCTCAAAATGAATACCACATTTTACTCCACTGCAGGAGTAACTTATTTATTTGACAACTATAGTTTCTTTACAAATTAAACATTTTAATCAAATGGTTTCATTTCCAGGTAAATTTCCTGGATCATTTTCCCAGAGAGAACGATGGTGGTAATAGTTTAGTTTCCAATCCCAAAAATAAATTAGTAATGTAGTAATTTCTTTCATGGAAATCCATATGAATGTCAATGATAAACTTAAAATATTCAAAGTACAATTTTATGAACTAGCCTACACGCATTACCCACTTCATTCAATTTCCCGATTGTTTCTTAGAATGGCTTTTCTGTAATTAGTTGTTATAATTTCTTTGACAGAAATTCTTTCAAGTCATTTTTACTATTTCTCTACTTTTATGTTCAGCTTTCATGGATAAATGTCAACCGTACCAAATTAAGTATCTGTTCAACAGTTTCTTTCCAGGAATTGTTTTTGAAAGGTGATGATTTTTATCAGTTATCGATGTTCTCATGAAAGAGAGATTTATCAGATGTTGAACTATTTCCACCAGTAGTTTGAAGACTATTTATAATGCATCTAAACTTGCTTTTTGTTATGTATCACTATCAAACAAAGGTCACTGTTGGAAATTTGTATTTGAAAAAGTAATGTAAGTACATGTTTTAGTTGGTGAATGCACAGTAAACAGACATGATCTCCGTGTCTCCCTGCTTTCCTTCTCTATGAATAATCCAGTATCTGTATAAAATCCCTCACAGAGCTTCCCCAACTTTAACCCCTCGTTCCCTGTCAGCCATGATTAATGACAGGCTAACTAGCTGCTGGCTCACAGTCGCTGGCTGTGCCTTTGTCTCCAGGTCACTTAATGAACTCTGACAAGTCTTCTGCAAACCTCTGGACTAATGTTTCCATTAAATGAGTCGACAGCGACTCCTGGGGGTCGGGGAACAGAAATGGAGACAACAACAGATCCTGCTGGAAGGCTGATGAGGTTCATTGTTTCATTGTGTTGGGTCTTCTATAATACCATGAGGTGTTTCCAGGCAGAGGTCAAACTTCCTGTCATGTTCAACATCTGCTGTAGTTATTATAGAAAAATATAATATGTATAATACAGATGTTAAACCTTTAACCAGCAGATGACCCAAACAATGTTTAAACCCACAGAGCTTTCTTTTAAATTCGATTGGTTTAAAATGTCTCCACAGTGGATGGATTTTGCTGAGGTGTGTTTGATAAGATGATAGTGTGGTGCTGCCATTAATTTAAAAAAAACATGCCTTTCAGAGTGTTTGAAATAAAGAAAGAGGAAATAGTTGTAAAATACTGAATGCTTAATGTTTTGGAATAATATAAATATCAATGTATGATAAAAAGCTTCCAACCAGCCCGAAACAATTCCAGGACTAAATTCAACAGGGAATTTGCTTAACTATATCAATTCACATTATATTCTTCTTTACTCTACATTTTCTGTTATTTTCCATAATACTTTAGTGTATTGTATTGTAAACTTAAAGTACTATTATTAGTAGTATTACTATTAATGTACAATATCTAAATGAACCACTTCAACCAGCTGCAGCATTAAAATGCTTCTTAAACATGTATTTATTTATTTCAGGGTCACCTGAGGGTAAGGTCTCACCTGAAATGTATCACAATACATCACTGAGACTCTGCTGCCCCCTGCTGGGCATCTTTCTAAAAGGCTCTCTGCTGTAATAGTAACTTGAGTTTTTCATGATTCAGGGTCCGTGAGTTTTAAAGGAGTAGACCAGCAGCTTTAGTGCTTAACAGAGTGAACTAGACACCGGCTCATTTCAGATTTTTACGGTGGAGAGGTTTTTACGCACAGATTTTACGCACAATCCAACCTTGTAATAACTGTGTGTTTGGGATATTAAGTTTCCCCCACTTGACCTATTTTATCACGGGGAGATACTTCACTGAACAGTTTGCAACATGATTGAATCTTCGTAAGCTCCAGCAGAGGTCGGCTCCTGCCCTCTTGTTCCTGATGTTGTTCCCTGGTGCGCCCTCCCCTTTTCCCGGCTCCTCCTCTGTCTCCCTCGGACTCGTCGACGAACGATTCCCAAACTTTCCGTGTTCGAGCTTCCTGCAGCTCCTGTGTTTTTTCTTCTGTGGAGCCGGGTGGGCCAGTGGGGACCGATGGGGGAACCCGTGCAATATAAATGAAGTGTCCAACAGATGGTACAGATGAGCGAGCCGGCGGACAGACCTCTGACCCCGTTATCCACACCGGAGCAACTCCTCAACAGGGACTCCCGGGGGAGTCGGTGAGTGTGGGTGAGATGGAGAGGAAGGGCCTGGTCTGCTCCGCGGCCACAGAGGAGGCCACACAGGCCTAATGCATTGTGTCTGTTGGGATAAATATAATTTAATGGATGCGTACGTGGCACTGGATAAAACCATATAATGGTTTATTTGCATATTAGACCAGTCAAAACTTCTCCTATGAACTTGTAGTAATGCATGATAACCTGCTTTGGCTGTTACACGGAGAGGTGTGTGGGGGTTTTCATTCCACTCCTGCAAAATTGAATGTGTCACAACAAGTTGGACAATGTGTGTGCGTGTGTTTCCAAGGTGAGTCATTGCGCAGGAGGAGGGAGAAGAGAAGTGAACGGTGTTTGTGTTGCAATGTGTCCAGGTCTGAGGTGGAGAATGGAGGAGAGAGGAGGGACAGGAGGAGAGGAAGGTTACCTGCAGACCTCCAGCTGTGTGTGGACACAGAGTCAGACCCCTCGGAGAGCAGGAGGAAACCAGCCAGTCTGAGGTGCAGCAGGTTATATTGTCCTCTGTGGAATATCATATAATACACTGCCAACACTTGACTCTGTTGAGGAGCAGTGAAGTTCTGACACAGTATAATGTTGTGCTCTGAAGGTATAATGGCTTTTCTAAGTGTTTATCAATGTGCAGTATTTGTCAGCAATTATATTTTCTCCCACGTAAGTGTGTTCGACTATATTCTCATTCATTATCTGCCTAAACACTAGCCTCTACTCTTTATGCAGCTCATCAGTGTAGGGAAATACTACTGCTGCTGGTACTACTACTGCTACTTCGAATACTAATAATGATAATGATAATAATGTGCCTTTCAAGACACTCAAGGACACCTCACAAATACAACCACAATCAAAAACAAAATGTCATGACATCATCAAAACAATATGTAATAAACTTAATAAATACATTATATTATTTTGTCTGTGCTATAAACTATTTATTAAAGTTCACTGCTCATGAATCTGGTGTAAATGTATTTATAATATTATAATAGAATACAAATATCTTGGAAATTGAATTAATTAGGATATTGGTTTATTTATTAGGATTTTGAACTGTTGGATAGACAAAAGTTATGTGGTCACTGTGACTACACTAAACATTGAATCAATCTATTAAGAAATGAATGAGCAGATTAGTTGATGGTGCAGGCTTTATCAATACTACATTTAAATATTTGTATATGCAAAGATACACTGGATTCACTGCAGATTATTGAATGTAAATTCTAATTAAACCTCGACTCTTTGAAATATAACTTATGTTGGTTAGCCATTTGCCTGTACAGCAGAATTACGTGTGGGTTTCTAATATTTTTTCTGTTGCACCCATTTTTTTAATTCCCTCATCGTTCAGTTCAATTAAAAAAATGAATTTATACAACAAAGGAAACAAGCAAGTTTGCAGACAAAAGTGAACACTGACTTTTTAATTCACAAGTAACAAATACAATCTAAAATACCAACGTGACAAAGTAAGAAGGAGTTGAAGTAAATGAGGATTAACAGAATCATTGCACATATTATTACATGTCTGTACACTCAGGGTAAAGTGACCAGACAAATTCCTCAAGGCATCAGCTCCTAGAGAAAATCATGTGTGTGACTGTGAGGTGGCTGAGAATGTTTTAACTGCTGAGGACTCGTTCAGGATTTAGCTGTGTGTGCGGGTTTTGTGTTTTGTCAACAGACCACACACACACACACACACGAACACACACACACATATATTAAATAACCCAAACATAATAAATATTTACAGATGTTGGTCCTCTCAGAATGACTTCAGGTGGAGTTTTTCTCTATAATCCCACATAACTACTTGGTACCTGCATGACTGAAGGCCTGTTTACAGATTCGGCTGTTGCTGTGTAAGCAGCTCTCGTATAACCACAGGTGACTCTGTGCACCGTCACATGAAGGACATGTGATTGTGGATTCTGTGTGGATCAGTAGAACAAGCGTTCATGTTTTATCCCGAGCTATGACTCCTCTGAAGCCGTTGCTGTTATAGTTGCTGTTGCATGTTGTCCTCTGTTACTACGCTACTGAACCACAAACACTGACCGTTTATTTGTCAGAGTGAAACCTGTGGAGCAGCTTTCACCAATGCTGAGCACGAGCGACATTGAAACCAAGTTTGAAAGGAAGAAACAGCCCAGTCAGGTAGGGACACGAGTTTTCACCAAACCTTTGATGGATTTTACACGTTTTTGTCAAATCTTAACAGATAAAATGTTTTTGCTTTCAGTTATCGAAGACAAATACCCATTATCACAAATTATTCAAGGACGTCAGCAAAGATGAGTTGCTCAAACAAAGTAGGTGTGAGGGAAAATATTTACTTTGATGTGAAAAGCACAGAAATTCAATAAGATTAGATCAGAGTTCAAATCTTAATGTGAGGTTCTGTGTGTGTCCACAGGTTACACGTGTGCCTTGCAGAAAGACATGTTATATCAGGGCAAAATGTTTGTATCTGATAACTGGATCTGCTTCCACTCCAAAGTCTTTGGCAGAGACACCAAGGTACGACTTAGAAACATCATTTGGCTTCAGCACCAGCTCGTGTTGTATATGTCTGAATTCTCTCACTGTGACAATTACCTGATTATATTTTCCCCAGATTTCAATCCCAGTGATGTCTGTGACATTCATCAAAAAAACCAAAACAGCATTATTAGTGCCAAACGCCCTCGTGATTGAAACCACAAGTGACCAGGTAAGAAGACTGTGGAGACAGTTTTAATCCCATTTGATATGAACAGGAAAGTGATTGTAAACTTTTGTTTTCCCAGCATGTGTTTGTGTCCTTCCTGTCTCGAAACACCACCTACAAACTGCTCAAATCCATCTGCGTTCATCCAGAGGTAAGTGATATCTAATATAAAACACTCATTTATCTTTATGGTACTCAGTATCTTCACATTAGAGCTCGGATGAAAGTAAACATGGCGACTGAACAGGGAAATGAGACAACTTTGTGCTCGTCTCAGAAATTAGATGAGATTAAGTCAAAATATTACAAGAAGAAAGTTGTAATATAATCAGAATAAAGTGATAACATTGCAAAAATAAAGTTATAATATTCCGAGAAGAAAGTTAGTACGAGTATAAAGTTGTATTATTACAAAATAAAGTTATAATATTAAGAAAATAAAGACTTAATATTACTAGAATAAAGATGTAATATTATCAAAATAAATTTGTTATATTAAGAGAATAGATAATATGAGATATTACAAGAACAAACTCATAATATTAGGCGTTAAAGGGGGTATATCAGAAGATCGACCTGTAACCTGCATTCAAATGAGGAATGTGGAGCGTCATGTTCAGTTATACTAAGGAATTAGTTTTGCAAATAACCTTTGCCACATCAGCTCCACATTAAGTATCAGGACTTAAAGAATATTTAGTAAGAATCCATCTGTATTCTGAAGAAAGAACCAGAGAGACTTGGAGGAAATGGCCTCTTCAGTGGAGGAAATGTTAGGTTACATCTGCTCGCTGTCTAAAGTGGTTTCATACTCAACAAAAACAGTAGGAGTGGAACTCCAGTGAGTACGGGGGATTTCCTAAAACAAATAAACTGAGTTTTTTTCTCATTGAATTATGGCTTTTTCTTGCATTATCACAACTTTATTCTCAACATCTCAGAAAGCTTTTTCTCATCAGTGTGGTCCCAATACTCCATCATACTCTATCTCAAATGAAATCCATAAAACAACACAGTGAATGTGAACATGATAAAGCAGCACAATCCACAATAAATCCATTGAGTGTTAAAGTGCTGCTATAAAAGGGTGAAATCTGATGCCATATTGCAAATCAAGACCTGCGCCAGGGTTATTAAACTTCAATAGCAAGTGGGCCATAAAGAAAAATCACTGGGGGAATATTTGTCAAATAATAGCTACAAAACTCTTATATTAGCTGATAAATTGCTACATAGAATGAACTAGTGACTCACACTTTAATCCGGTATCACTGTGATTAATTCCAGGAGCAGATAGTCGACACAAAGAAGTAACCAAACCTGATTTATGCTGAAAGTCTTATGGGCCATAGAAATATTCTAAAGGTTTAATAGGTCCTTCACATCCACAGCAGTGTGTTTTGTTTTCATTAAAACAGCCCAAACATCCACTGAGCACTAACATCATGTACTACCTAAGATTTGTAAAATCTGAAATAATAATGCAATAATTATTGTGATATGGACTGATATGATCATTGTTTATCTTGATATCATTTTTGGCCACATCACCCAGCTCCAGTTGTATATTCTGCACACTGAAACGTGTTCCCTGTGGCTGCAGGTGGAGAAGACTTGTAACAGCCCCATCCTGTCTTCCTGTGAAAACAGCTTCAGAGTCAGCTGCTCGTCGTCTCTTCCTCTGGTCAGTCAGGGGTCTGTCCGTCCATTTTACTGGAATGTTTTCACTGGATGTATTCATTGTACATGAGAAGATTTTCCACCGTGATAAGAGATCTATAGAAATGCCTTGCTCTCATGTTATACAATAGCCTCTCAGTATGTGGCGTTCATTTTACTGTATGGTTTTCCCTGCAGGATTTTTCCGGAGACTTCTCTGACCTGGATGGGGTGGTGCAGCAGAGACGACAGGAGATGATGGAGAGCAGCAGCTCCGACTCTCAAACTCCAGATTATGACAAAATAACTGGTGTGTGTGTGCTCCATCCTCAGCCCTCTGTGTCAACGCACCTTTACAAAGCTGCTATTTACTTAACGTTAATCCATTGTACACGTTTACTTTTTCTCCTCTCTGAATGTGCTCAGGGTTTCCACTGTCACTGTGGCTTCAGCCAAAGTGAAATTTGAGCCACAGAGGCTTCTCTTTTTGGTATTGTGAAGAGAGTTGGCATGGAAAACAGATCCCTCCCTTATTATTTCTGCCGTTCATAATAAGAAGCCAGCCTTTTCCTTCTCACACAGGGAACATGTTGATGTGTAAGGATGTTTGGGACTTCTGTTAATGTTTACTCTGGCTCAAGGTGGCAGTTTCAGTCACGGGTTCCCCTCTGTTTACTTGAGCAGACTTCAGCGGCCTCCCAGACTCATTTCTGAGTGCGGTGAAGAGCGGAGAGGTTTCAGTCCACGCAGATATTCACCTCCAGACCCCGGGCCAAAAACACAGAGCTGCCCTCAACAACGGTACTTTAACAACTGCATCTGTCTGAGTCAAAGGAAGCTTTGTTTCTGCCTCTGTAGTCTTGAGTTTCACTTCTCACCAGAAAGAATTCAGTATCATTGGAAATGTCGAGAATAATGAATGGATGAATCTTTCACTTTTTATGTATGTTTAAAGATATGCTTTTTGCTTTTTTAACTTAGCTTAGCATCAGGACTGTCCACATAAAAATACATATTTTAATGCACTTAATCCAGATCATTATCTAAATCTGCACCATATCACTTGTTCGTAGATATTAGCACTCTGGGCCTTTTTTTCCTAAATATATCTGTTTTATTTGTGGAGGAATTCACACAAATGTCAAAAAAAAAAAAAAAAGATATGCCCCCTCAATCAGCTCCTCTCAAAAAGTTCACATGTTCCTCCTTGGCCCATGTCCTACCCTTTCACCAAGTCTCAAGACAAGACACTTCCCTTATTGACAAATTGTATTACAATTCACTCATGATTTCGGTTATATAATTAGGGACAGAGCCATTTCCCAAAATGTGGACTTTTCTTTATCATTGCACCCTATACTACATTCTAAAATGTGAAATGCAGTTTTAGTACATCTGACATATACTAAATAATTTTTCTCTCTTTCATTTTCTTCATGATTTATAGGATCAGCCAAGCCAACCCGAGTAGTCACACTCAAAGAGAAATCCACTCAGCCCAAGTCGCTACAGGCCATCCTCCTGATCTATTTGGTGTTGTGAGTGGCCTTTCATTATGTGGAATATGAGAAGCTCGGTTTGTCTTGACAGGATGATTCCCATTTCCATAACAGCGGGTGTTCTGTGAGAAGTGTTCATCTCTCTCTCTCTCTCTCTCTGTTTGTGTGTGTGAGCAGAGTTAGTGTTCTCGTCTTGTCCTCCTGTTACATGGCTTTCAAGATTGTGGCTCTCGAGCATCGTCTGAACTCCTTGGTGTCCATTGGGGAACACATCAGAAACGAGTAAGAGCTTGACTCCACAGAAGATTTCAGTGTGGGGCGCTGTGCTCCAGACATCAGATTATATCACATGCCCAAATGCCCTCACACTGCTTTATGTCACCTGGTTAGTGCAACATCACACATTGTTTGGTTTATGATTTAGTGCAAATCTATTTGCAGAAATGCAGTGAGCCACAGGTCCCAGGATGAAGTGAATGCTGAGGTCTATGGAGAACTGTCCACCAACCTGTTCAGGCTAGAAAAGGTTTGTCTGATTTTAATAAACTGCCCTAGAATGTCGCTGATATTTTATGATCAGAAAATCTTACAATTGTATTTTGTAGATTTCCAGAAATGTGATTGCACCATTGAGTCAAAGTAGGTGTGATCTGTGACTAAAAGGCCCATGACTAATGAACACAGTGTTGATCACTATCAAACATGGCTATTCACAAAAATGTGATGAGGCAAACTCGCAAAATCAGTTTAGTAATATAAATCAAGAGTGAACAACTCAACATTTTAGAAAATTAGCTTTTTAATCAGTCTAACGTCATTTGTTTAACCAAGAAATAGTCCAAACGTAAACACAAATTATTAAAGTTTAATTGTATTGTTGTGTACACATGAAACAAACAATATACATGTTAATTAATGGGCTTTAGAGCTGCTAGTAGGTGTATTTTTTTTGTCTGAATATAGCTAAGCTAGCTGTCCCCCTGTTTCCAGTCAATATGCTAAGATAACCTATTGAGCTGCTGGTGATAGCTTCATATTTAGCATTTGGGTTAGAGTGCAGCATCCACCTTCTCATCTAACTCAGCAAGAGAGTTGTATTTATGGACGTCTCCACAGTAGTTAAGAGTAATTTTATATGGTGTTAATATACATGTATATTTTTTTCTTCCTAGATTCAAAGAAACCTGCGGAAGCTACTTGAAGAGACTTGAAGAAGACCGTTGTCTGAGGGTCTGCACAGAGGCTTTATCTTTTATTAGACATGTGGTCAAACTCATAGAACTGTATATTAAGATGAAAGTGTTTCCACTTCCTCTGTCTATCCAGAAATTAAGCCAAAATATCTCAGATATGAAATCCACCATCTTGCACATTTGGAGCCAGAGTCTGCGGGGTAGTGATTTAGGGAATGGAGCCGTGGTAACGAGGCCCCGCTGATACACAGCCTCAACCAATCACAAGGCGGTCTCAGCTGTCAGTCATGACCTTTCACCACATTTAATAACATGAAATAACTAAACTAAAAACAAACATGCGTGAAAAATGTACCTTTGAAAAACATCAGTGTGATAAGAACTACCTAAAATTACAGAAACAATTTTGACTTTTTAGTTTGGCCCGTATCCCATCCGCTAACATGGAGGAGGCAGGGTTTATGATCTATACTGCAGCCTCCCATCAGGTGGCGAACAAGCTGCTTTGGCTTCACTATTGGGAAGCAGTCATGTCGTCCATCTTTATAGACAGCAACCATAGACCAGCCTCTGTAGATCAGGTTAGGTAATAGATCTGATGCCAAAGCACAGACAGCTCATTCAGAAAGTTTTCTCAAACTGGTGTGAACGTCAATTTAAATTGTGCAATATCCTCCCTTTCCACTCAGGATTATTTTATGCAAGAGGTGACATTGAAGCAGCGTGTTAGTGTTTGCCAGTGTTAGTGAAGCAACATTTTGAAGCCTGTGTGTAGCATTTATCGGAGCGCTTTGATTTTTTTCCTCAACTGTAGGATTTTGTTTTTAGGGTATCTAGGTGTAAAGGTCGTATTTGACTGGTTTTACAAACATTTCAGAAAAGGTCAACTTGTGCTGTTCTAATGTTCTTTAGTTTGAATCTCGTTGCAAATAAATTATATTTATGTTATGTAAATAAATCTTAATGTACGAGTGTTTGTTTATCTTTCAGTAACATTCATTGTTGTATTTTACATTCTGCCATATGTACAGGACATAGACGGGATTGAAATGCTGTTTCTCTCTGATCCCCAGTGTAAACATATACATAGACAAAACATATAAGTAAGCAACATATTAAGTACTCAAAACATAGTACAGAGTACGATATAGTATGCAGTCATAAGGCAACACAGTGGATAGGATGGGAGCAGTCCAAACCGGAATAATGACAGAGTGCAAAAACACACTTCAAGTCCACACGATAGCAGCAGTTGTAGTATTATAGAAGCACTTACAGTAAAAAAAAGATGAAATTACTTCAACTTAGTTAACAACTTAATTTATCATGAAGGCATGAAGGATTATTAACCCATTCTTTAATGTGTGAAATGATAATCATAAAAATAATAATCATAATATTAATAGTCAAATCATTATTATTATTTTCAGTGTAATTCTTATTATTATCTCTCTACTAACACTATATGTGCAGTACTACTTTCATATCACTTACTGCTATCCTCATGGTCATTACAACCACAATACTGTGCTTTAGTATTAGTTTGCTGTCTTCAGTAACTTATTTTTATATAGTGCTGTTAAAGTAACCTTGGATCTGAACTCCTCTCATATAACACAGAGTAAATCAGTGAGTTTCACGTGCAAACAGAAGCAGCAGCATCGCAAACAAACTGAAGCTTTAAACTGAAGCTTCATTGTGCTCTCACAAACAAAGCCCCCGCCCACTCCTGAATTTTGAACCAATGAGATTCACGCCCCCACACCTCGTCTGCCTATCAACCGACGCCCCCCCTCCCCTGCATGACGTAACACCCAGTCTGAAAGTGCAATGGCGATATTGGACAATAACAGCCGTCGCTTTCGGGGACCACATCTCTATTATGTGGCTGAGGCTGGAGCAAACACCGTCAGCGGGCTGCAGACGCGCGTGTAACATCCCGCACGGTGCGCGAGCGTCAACGTGCCACCGGGAGACGTGATTCCACGACCCGTGCACGCGATGACGGCTTAGACCCGAACCGCTGGTAAGTGTGAACTCCCGGTGCTGGTGATGGAACCTGCTTCTGCAGACGCTTCCCCAGCAAATGGTCCCTGGCAGGCTGGAGGGTTGGAAGGGGCGTGGCGGCGCTGGGTACCACTTCTGACTCCAGGATGCTGATAGCTTAGCAACAAGGAAGAAGGAGCAGGAGGCTGGAGACAATGGATGTGCGGGTTGTCAGCAGCGTTACCGGGTAGGCTTGGATGTGTGTTGTTGGACCGGAGAGCGAGGCAGCCGGTGATCATCCCCATCATCATCAGTTTGTGCCATGAATGTGGGAATGTAAACAAAGGGTGTGGGCCTGTCAGCTGGCCTGTGAGGAGCCATGATCACAGCAGGAGCAGGTTTTACACCCGTGGTACAGTCATGTCTGATGGGTGACAGCGTGTTGAAAAGGCTGGACGCTGCTGTCAGAGGCTCCAGCAGCTGCCTGGAGGACCCCAACTATTATACTATATATTATTTACATCCACTTCAACCTTCACTAGTTCCAGCTCCTGAATTGCTGCTTTTCTGTGACAGTAAACTAAACATCTTTACCTTTTGGATACAGTATCCTTAGGTTTTTACTCTATGATCAATTTAATCAAAAAAAAAAAAAATCAGACGATATGATCGATGGTGAAAGTACTCGTTAGTTTTGGCCCCACAGAGGTGTAAAGCTGCCACAGGCTTCATGACAAATGTTGGTGAGTAAACTAACTTGTGGTGCGGACATAAATTCAGCTGATCATACTTTACCTATAGCAAATATTTACCCTGACAATGAAAGTAATACACATGTTCAATATGAAACTTCATTTTATATAAGTGATATAATGTCATTAAAGCCCTGGGCGTTTATTGTTTGACTGGAGAGTGAGGCAGTCGGTGATCATCATCATCTTTGTCATCACCAGTTTGTGCTAAGTCAACCACAGGCAGCCATGAATGTGGGAATGTAAACAAAGGGTGTGGGCCTGTCAGCTGGCCTGTGAGGAACCATGATCACAACAGGAGCAGGTTTTACACCCGTGGTACAGTCATGTCTGATGGCTGACAGCGTGTTTAAAAGGCTGGACGCTGCTGTCAGAGGCACCAACAGCTGCCTGGAGGACCCCAACTATTATATATTAACCTTCACTAGTTCCAGCCTCTAAATTACTGCTTGTATGTGACAGTAAACTCAGCATCAGTAGCTTATGGGCTGTTGATCGGATAAAAACAAGCTATTGGGTGAACTTAACTTGACTTTGTAAAGTAATGACATTTTATAGACCGATTGTTTAATCGGGAAAATAATCTGCAGGTGTAATGGATTCAATTTAAACTGCAGCCCTACAGGAATGTAAACACTGCCACATGTTTCATGACAAAGAGCAAAGTACTCATTCCACAGAAATTGAATCACACAATATGTGTCTGCTATACTGATTATCGATCCCTTTAACATTTATGGTTAGGCATGTTTTGTTTGAATAGACTTAAGGGCTAACAGGATTATTTTGCTCTTTTTCTGTCTACAGACTTTGATCAATGATACATTTGCATCACTGAAATAGAATATCTGCTGAGTCAGGCCCTCAGTTCTTCTTCCCTCATCTTGTGGAGGGACCATGTCTTAAATAGAGTTAAACCTTTTCATTCATAATTGCAGTAGTTCGTAGTACAACAGTATTTACTCCTACTCCACCACATCAATGCATTGCTTTAGTGACTAGTTACTGTATAGATTCATATTAATGAATAATACTGTTGTTGAAATTTAAATACATAACTTAAACTTGTGTTTCTACACCTCGGTACTGCTACTGTACCTGAGTAAAAGTTCTGAAAAGGTCTGCCACCACTTTGAACACTTTATAAAGGGAACTTCATTACATATTTTACCATTTGTACACAGTCATGTGGCAAATCAAAGGAAAAACCTGAATAAATGAGTAGAGGAACCTAATGGATTCACACCTGCACTACATGGTACAGTCACGCTGTTAACATCCAATTATGCTCTGTGGCATTTTTCCAAAAGTAGCTTCATAAAACCTATTTTGCCCGCAGGACATTCGCATTCTGTTCGTTTTCGTATAGATGCTGAAATTGTATTTATGACTTTTAAGGATTTACACAACCAAGCCCCTATATACACGAAGAATTGACTTCGACCTAGACTTAGTGACTTTAAGAAAGCATCTTTGGAACATAGTGAGAGGCGTTATACAAACAAATCTTGTTCTTCAGTGTATGGAAAAAACATGAAGAAGTGCATGACATGAACAGACTTTGGAAAGATGTGTGGAAAACAGTGTTTTGGTCAGATGAGCTGTGATGATGCTGCTGGGGCATTGTGCTGACATGGTTTGAGTCCGGCTTAGTTGGAAGAGTCCCTGCAAATCAATACTAACAATTCTATCGTGATGGGAAGGGTCTCTCTTCCAGAGTCACTGAACGTTTCAAAATGATTTGAATTATACGGCCTACGCTCTAGATCTCAACTCAATTCAATGCCCATGATTGCACAGGTTTTTAAATTGGGCCTGAGCTACACCGACTTTTGCATCCAACTTTATGAAATGTTTGTTCGTCCATTTTCCTAATAGAATTAGTTCCAAATTGCTTAGACCTGGAATATTCTTGAAATGAACTAAGAACAATTTATTTCCTTTTTCCTGGAAGTTTTCAGTAAATGGAAAATCCAAAATCTGTGAAAAACACTGTTAGCAAAATATTCACTACAGCTAATTTCTCACCCAGCACTTCTCTTCCTGCTGTATCAGAATGAAATAATGTCTTTAACATGTCCTGTGCTCTTGACTTGTCATCTGTTTGCCAGGTGCCACGTGTGAAGAGACACCATGGCCGCACAGGAACCTTCCCCTCCTTCGTCCATGGAGAGCAACAAGCCCGGGTTCCCCAAGAAGATCCTGGGCAACAAGCTGGAGGACAAGCACCTGTGCAACTGCTGCCACAACATACTCCGTCGACCGTTTCAGGCCCAGTGTGGACACCGCTTCTGTTCCTACTGCTTCAACAGGACAGTCAGGTGAGCAGCTGCCGAAGTGTAATGTCGACAAGAGATTTGAGAAAGAGGACTAAACACGTTTGAAAGCTAGACTTGAGATTGACCTGAGACCGAAGGGCCATCTTGTTATACCCTTCCCTCTGCTTTCCAAATAATAACTTGTACAGTGGCATTTTACATTTTTTTACCACAAGATGAAGAGAAAATTACTTTAACTCAAAACTTTGCACTTGAAGAATTAACTAGAAAGAAAGAACTAGAAAAATATGTATGAATAAGGTTCATTACTACTACCGAGCAGAATGTTGCCCTCAGAAATTTCGTTAAAGTGATAAAAGGTGTTTGGGTTTACTGCTGTTTGTTTTACTGTTATTGGACAGATTTGATTCAGAAATCAATTTCCCTCTGACATGTGGAGGGAAAGAAGTATAAACTTGAAGAACTTGCTTAAGTACAACACTGGAGTAAATGTACTTAGTTACTTTCCATCCTTTGTTACCTGATGTTTCTAATTTGTTGTTTATCAGTACATGTTGTTGTTTTATTGCAGTAATGGACCCCAGAAATGCAGTGCCTGCATTAAAGAGGATATTTTTGAGGACCCTACGTCCATTTTGAAACAAGGATGTGTGAGTATAAACATATTTTTATCCAGTACAGTAAAGTATCATCTTTCCTAATTAGATTTTTTAATTAAAGTGAGTCTATTGATTGTATCAGTGAATTCATCAGAATTGTGCCATGAATGCTCCAGTAGTATTTTAATCAAAAAACAAATGTATTAGATCAAATCTTTTGTATTGATTGTTTATAAGAGGTGAGAACATTGCGAAAATTTGTGATCCAAGTTTTCCAAAGCTCAAGCTTAAATCTGCAGATGTTCTGTTTTGATCTAACAAAAATTCTTCAGTTTATTATCACAACAAGAAAAGTGTGGAATCCTCACAACTGAAAAACTGGAGCAGGAGAATCGTTTTAATTTTACTTTCATGATTTTTTTATTTGAATGAACTAATCATTTCAGCTCTATTGTCAATATGCATTCAAGTTATGATAATGTTTTGAAGTTTATATATTTTTACATTGAAAATGTGTCACATATGTATTTAACATGGTGGAGCCTTTCTCAGATCTGCTGTGGTTTTTCAGCTGCTCACTGAGGTTCTGTTCCTCTACTGCTGCTCTAAGACGACAATTTCCTGTCAGGAAACTCAGACACTAATAAAGAAGCACATGCACGGGCAAACAAAGATGGTTTCATTTTGATGCAGACTCAGACACTCAGCTGTTTCTATATATAATCATTTCAGATGTTTGTCACTTCAGTCCCACCGGTGACGAGACCTTTGTCAGGTTGAAATCTATGAATGATGCAGAGCCTGATTTCATCACATTCACACTGTAGCTTTTCATCATACATAACCACTAGTAGAAAAATACTGAGTACAAGTACCAGTGCAATCAGTAAAAAGTACTGGTTGTTGAAAAAAGAGCACTAACTCAGGCCTTAGCAAAAATGCAGGTGATATAACAAGATTGTTATGCATCAGTGTTTAAGCAGCATGTTACTGTTGTAGGGGCTCAAGATGAAGGTAGTTTTATAGACTTCAAGGTTCAAAGCGTTTATTATCATATCTACAGAAATTCTTTCTTTGCCTTCCACTATGAATACCGTGTTTGTTAAGGATCTGTGTGTTGAGCTAGTCCAGGGTGGAGTCAGGGCCAGTGAGTATTTGTATAGTTTTGCATAGTGCTCCTCCTTTGAACCTTTCAAATGGTCACAAGATCAACTGAAGTGTTTGTGAGGAGATTAATGGAAGAAAAAGAAACAAAGTTCTGAAACTGGACTTTGCATTATTTTTGTTCTAATATTTGCTTTTTAAATTGATTTATTTACCTCTCTGGTTATCAAACCATGAAATGATATGAAAAGTACACACACCTTAAAACTGTATTTTTACTTCAGTAACTGTAGTTAAGTATAATTTACAGATTAAACAGTATATTGTGCAGTATTATCTGAAACATCAATGTACCTCTTTTTTAGCCCTTTATGTCCAAACGGTTCCAGGTACTAAGTGGATGAGAATGAACTGCTCTGTGCTGCTTCATACCTACGATCTCGTCTCATACTCCTGCAGTCATAGTTCTGATGTTGAAGTCTGGTTTATCAGATCAATAATAATAATTTAATAACAAAGCTCTTGCAGGACAAATGTTGGTGCTCATGATTGTTTTTTTTTTTATTTCACCCCTAAACTCACTATGAAGGAAAGAAAAAAAAATACAATTTCAATCCACACATTTCCTCAACATAAATAATTAATATAATGGAAACAGGGATGGAAATGGAAACATTGCACAGATACAGTGTGAAACTAAATCCTGTTTGTTTTCTCTTGTTTTTTCAGGCTTTTCCTGACAACGCTGTTCGAAGGGAAGTTGAGAACCTATCAGCTGTTTGTATCAATGAAAATTGCACTTGGAAAGGCAGCATTAAAGAGTACGAGGTGAGACGACCTTAGACCTAGTTTCATGACTTTCTTATGCCTGAACATTTTTAGTGTGATAGGTAGTCGATCCTTTGTAACCTCCGCCAAGGAGGTTTTATCTGTCTCTTAGTAGCAGGATTACCAGAACACTTGGCGGAAGGATGTCTTATGGGTCAGGAAAGAACCCATAAAAAGTTTGTGCAGATCAGAATAAATGGGCAGAGCCAAGAATTTTGTTTCACTTTCTCACATGCAACAGATTCTGAGTGACAGGGACACAGACTCAAGAGAGAACTGCATTGCACACAACTGCAGCAGAAACTATGAGGTTTGACTGTAGACGGTAAAAACTTTACGGATGATATCGCAAGTGAGCATTCTGCAGATAGTGCTACAAACAGCTATACAATGCAGCAACCAAGCAAAACACATATATCTCTATATGTAAAAATTGGTTTACTGTGAAATTAGCCGGACAAAGTAGAATATGACGAGCTGCAACAATCTAGATTATGAATGGGAAACACTGCTTTGAATGAATGTGTACGTTCTGCAGACAGTTTATCCAGAAGTGGCCAAATTGTAAAGTCTGCCACAACAGCTCAACCTCAGCTCTCCTTCCTACAGCTGAACCACGAGGGGAAGTGTGAGTTCATGATCATCCCCTGCCCGTCCTGCAAAGAACGGATCCGCTTCAACGAACAAGAACGCCATAATGAGCGAGAGTGCCCGGAGAGAACGCTCAACTGCAAGTACTGCAAGGAGCCATTTCACTTCAAAAACATCAAGGTTAGAAATTATTTATTTGGATTTAAGACGCTCGTGTCATGTCTGAGTACATCACAGCAGCTCTTTGTGTGTCATTCGTTTTTTTTTTTTTTTTTTCCCAGGCACATGATGAGATCTGTCCCAAGTACCCGATGATCTGTGAAGGCTGCGCCAAGAAGAAAATACCCAGAGAGAAGGTGAGTCATCTCTGTGAAGCTCATGTAGACGAGAGAAATATTTTGTCACTCAAGTCACAGAGAGACACAAGCGAAAAAAATACAGACTGAACAACCTAGAAGGTCTTATAAATCCTCTTCCTTCTGTTCTGGAGATTTCCACAGTTCTTTAAGACTTTACCAAAAATATTCAGTGCATTAAAATGTGTTTTCTCCACTGCAGAATAAAAAATAATAACTGCCAAGTTTTCCATTTATGATTCTGCTTTCCATCCAGGTATCAGATTTATTTTATTTTCACATGCAGTTTACAACCGTATAAAACAAGATAGAAATATAAATTAAACAGATTAATGAGGGACCATATGCTCATATATTATTATATAAACTTCAGAATAAAAAGATGGATATAGCATATTGTATAGTTTGAAAACTTTATTTGGAGATTTTGAAAAAATAAGAAAGACAGATAATGAACAGAAGAGTTCATTTCATCAGCACATAATAATGCAAAAACAAAAGAATTAGTAATAATCAGGAACTAATCACAGTCATGAGGATCATGTCTCAAAATTGCAGCAGACAGGATATTTTTTCATTTATTTAGTTTGAAAAGTATTTTAGGATAATGGAAATATCTTTAAAATCAACCTGCTGGGTTGTTGAAATGTTACCAGATATGTATTTTCTATAGAATCAGATGCCTTGCTGTCTTTTTCACTAATGCCCTTTTGTTTTTTGTGTTTTTTCTCCAGTATGTCGACCATATTAAGTTCTGCAGCAAATTCAGAACTCCGTGTCGATTTCATGTTGTGGGATGTGACATTTCTGTAAGTAACTGGATTATTTTCTCAACATTATTTTTATATATCTTTACACATGCGTTCATTTGAAGGATTGTATGGAAATTATCGCCAAGAGGGGGTTAGAAAGGCTTTTATTATTTGAAGGCTAAATAATTCTATCACATTATTTTTGATATTCAACACTGCTCTTTGGAAGATGTGTGGAAGAAACACCTCCAGCATGCAGGGTGGCAACTGATGATTATTTTGATCATATGATAAAACACTGTATTACTGTATTTGCTGTAGAGCTTCTGGTTACTAAGCAGAACCATCCCACCTTTTCATGTAAGACACAATGATGTGTGATGAAATGATTCTCTAAGAATACAGTAAAGTGTACTGAGGCTTTAAAGATGGAGGTAGAGGCCAGTATATAGACAGTATCAGTAAAATCAAGAGCAGATGTAATTATGGGCTGGTCTTCTGACTTGCTGAAGTCAAGAAGGATTTGTTTGGGTACAAAAGTTTTGACCTCCAGTTTGTCACTTCCTTTATAAAGGTGGAGAAGGAGAAGATTCATGACCATGAGCGCGCCTACGCCTACGAGCACCTCAATTTGTTGTTGCACTACATCATGGGCATGAAAGTGAGCATGGAGGGCCTGCAGCCCCAGGGACTGGAAGTAGCCGGACACAAACTGGTGGAGCTCCAACAGTCCCTCAGGGAGCTCGAGGCCAGAGTCTCCCAGCTCATCACCACCTCCTCTGGGCCTCCCGTGCAGGGAGCCGCCGCCTCCTCTTCATCCTCCAGCTCCGGTCCCCCCGGTCCACCTGCTTCAGCTCCTCTCCCCCCACCACCCACTCTGGCTCCCACCCTCTCTGTGTCCACCTCTTTCACACCTTTGCCCAGCTCGGTGGGAGCAGCGCTGGAGCTCCAGCTCCACAGCGAGAAGACCAAGGTGGCCGAGCTGGGGCGCAGGTGCACGGAGCTGGAGGTCAAATCAGGCACGTTTGAAAATGTGGTGTGTGTGCTGAACAGAGAAGTGGAGAGGTTTGCCACCACCATGGAGGCCAGCAACCGTCAGCATAAACTGGACCAGGATAAGATCGAGGCTCTCAGTAATAAGGTAGGACTGAGAGGAGACAGAACCAAAACTGCCACAGTCACACTCTCAAACACACATGACATTATTCATATACCTTTATATATAAATGGACAACAGATTATTCTTCTCCAAGAAGAATGAAACCACAAACTATTAACTGTTTCCTTTTATTGAGCAGATATTAAATGGATTGAATGGAAAACCTGTTAAAGCGGAGTGTGTGTTTTTATTCCAGGTGCGACAGCTGGAGAGGACAGTGGGGCTGAAGGACCTGACAGTTGCTGAGATGGAGGGCCGGCTCAGAGAAATGTCTGCCACCACCTTCGACGGTGTCTTTGTCTGGAGGATCTCTGATTTTGCCAAAAAGAGACAAGATGCAATCGCAGGTCGAGCCCCTGCCATGTTCTCACCAGGTATCATGAGTCATTATTGTAGAACCGCTAAAACAGAGTTTGAAAACTCTGCTTAAACTGTTTCAGTTTGAAAACTCCGGAGCTGCCCTTTACTCTTGATGGGCTTGAACGGAGATGTTTGGAAACAATGACATAGACACTCTGTTATCACATGACCCCCTCCCGGTAGAAAACAACCAATTACAAGTGTTTCTGACTCTGTTGTCTTTGCTCACAACTGTTTTGCAGTTAAATTCTGCATTTTACAATGACACAACTGCTTACATGCACATGCCCAGTGTATGTGATATGCAGAGATGTTATGTAGAGTAATACATTTTCCCTGCACCTCAAAGTTCACACTATAAAATACACAATGTTCTCCTACGACATTCACAACGCACTGTGTTAAATGATGACAGTAAGGATGATCAGCACTCAATTAAGTATTGAAACAGGGACTCTAGGCCTGACCCCATCCGACCTGATTAGACTCAATATTCATGGACCCAGTCCCACTTAGGTGGCAGGTCAGGCTCTGTTGCTGAAAGCCAAGTCAACCTATTTAGATATGTGTTTCAGGAGCCTGATGACTAAAGCTGAATTCACCTTCCCTCTATTTCCCTTTCAGCCTTCTACACCAACAAGTATGGCTACAAGATGTGTCTGCGGATCTATCTGAATGGAGATGGGACGGGGCGTGGCAGCCACTTGTCTTTGTTCTTCGTGGTGATGAGGGGGCTGAGTGACGCTCTGCTCAAATGGCCCTTTAACCAGAAGGTAAGATATATAAAGGCAACAGGGGATATTTACGAAGGATTTGAAACCTTGTTTACGTCATCAAATTGTTATTAATTACTAAAGGCTCTTCTAAGGTTTTCTACCTAAAGGGAAATTTGCTGAAAAAAATGTTTGATCTCATGCAATATGGAATTTAAAATGGGTACGGAAAAGACTGATTAAGTGACTTTCTCAGCTGAGAACCACAACATATGCGCCATATGATCGAAGTAGCCATACTTATAATACTTAATACTACTTATGATAAGAGTATTAAGGAGGCCTGAACAGATAACACATTTATGTTATGAACATTTATGTTTTTGGAAAATTGATCTTGTCCAAAGAACATTTTTCCTAAAATATCTCCGCTTTATTTTATATGAGTCATTATTGTTGAAGAGAAGACAGTTTTGGACCTACAGGGGTGAAAAAACACAATAATATCATTCATATTTGATTGATCAGAGACGAGATCCTGTTATTTAAGATTTCCTCACATATATCTGTCCACCTGGAAGGAATCCTGCAATGTTCAAAACAGTCGTCTCTCCAACCAATATTCCAAGTTGAGCAGTAGAACAAGCTTTCTTTTGCACTGATGAGTATCAAAACTGTTTCAGCACTTAGTCATCCTCACTTCGTATCACTGATGATTAATGTGGCTGGGCCCATTTAACACTGTAGAGCCCATGAGGCTGATACAACCCGGCCCGTTGTTGCATGTCTTCTTCTCTCTCCTCATTTACTTCTTAACTGTTCTATCAATAAAGGTTGGATGGCACAAAAAAAGTCTGTAGTTTTAAGGTACTGTCATATTTTTGACCTACGAACATTTGCTCCATGTCACATCTACTAAAACCGATATGACAGATAAATTCAAATTGGTGCTTTCTGATTAATCACTGACCACGAAGGCAAGGAGTTTTTTTGTTTAAATCATCATCACAGTTATTTGAGTACAAAACTGTTTATTTTTCTGCCACTCAAGTCAATAAATAAACTCATTATTTTGGTTTTACGTCGAATGGACCAGGTTTAACTTTTAAATGGTTTTACCAGAGACCCCTGAATCGCCCCTGTGCTCTATTCAAATGAATGACTGGCCTTTTTTTTCACACAGGGCTAAAATATGACTGAGCTTAGAGAAAATGCTTCAAAACTTTCAATAGTGCATAACACAGCTTTAATCTTGTTTCCAGGTGACATTGATGCTGCTGGACCAGAGCAACAGGGAGCACATCATCGACGCCTTTCGACCTGATGTCACGTCCTCCTCCTTCCAGAGACCCGTGAGCGAGATGAACATCGCCAGCGGCTGTCCGCTCTTCTGCCCGCTCTCCAAGCTCGATGCCAAGAACTCCTACATTCGCGACGACACCATTTTCATCAAGGCAATCGTGGACCTCACTGGCCTCTAGATGGGTGATTCCACAGGGTGGGACAATTTGGCAACCAGGCAGCTCTTAGACCATTACGGCTTCATTTTGGCTCAGTCGTGGTCCCTCTAGGGCTCCTCCGTTCAGGCATCTTACTGTCCCTCTGCAGCTTTAGGGAGACAAACATGCTTGCAACTGCACGCTGGGTGTGGCTGCAGTTTGCTCAGTCCAGGCGGCGCTGGCATCGTCATACCCGGTGGTCTCTATGCGCGAACCACCGTCATTAGTGTACATTTTGGGAGCAAAACTTTTTTTTCCCTTTTGACTTCACAGCACCAGTCCCATGGTGATGAAGTGTCACTTCTATTCTGCACATACGTTTTCAGTTAAAGGACACAGACGTGAGCACCAGTGCAGCGTGGTCGGCACAGTGTCGAGTCGAAACAAAATGTTGACGGAGTGAAAAGAGCGGAACAGCATCTTTTTTCATCTCCTGCGTGTGAAGAGTTGGGACATGCAGACTGTGTTAGTGGAGGATTGTAGATTACAGGTCGTGTAAGTGATGATTCTGATGTTGCTGTAGAACGCTGGCAGTAGACTTGTACTAGAGTTAGAGCGTGGCTTGATGCAGTTTTAGCTTTTTCTTGCAGACTGTGGATATTGTGAGCTTCTCAATTCCAGTGTGGAGTGAATTTGCATAGACAAACGTGGAGTTATGTTATGAATAAGATTACAGGCGTTTATTTTTGCCTCTTTTTTTGCGCAAAGTGCATGCTGCTGGCGTTTTAAGTATAAAGTTGCTCCTTAATATGACTGAGCTTTATGAGGGTTCCTCGTTTGTTGTGAAACTTGTTAGTGAATTAGCCATCCGTGATGGTGGACATTGCCTGCATGTCTTTGGAAACAGGCTATTTACATGTAAAGTTAGTGTCGCGTAAGTGTTCCTAATAGGGGTTGGTGGTTCTGATCGGTGGATTGGTACATCTGTGGAAGATACAGTGAAGTTACCAAGGAGTCAGGGCAGCTTGCCAGTCAAGCCTGAGGCGTAAAACTCCAACAAACACACATAGATGGAGTTTTCCCCCGGGGATATGCTCATTAGCTCACATCTCAACACATAGTACTGTGCCCCACCACAGACTGAGGTCAACACAGATTCCACGAAATGAAGGAAATGTCCGTTCCTTGTTTTCTGTCCTTACGGTATATGTGTTTCTGCTGCTCTGAGATAGAATCTAATATATATGTTGGCGCAAATATACATGAGGTAAATGTGTGTGGCGAGAGGCTGAATACAAGAAGTTGTGATACGTTGTTGTAGGTGACGGGCCATTGTGGACTTTATTTATTGCAGATTGATGTTCAAGTGCAGCCCCAGATTAACTTCGAGACTTCAGTGTTTTAATGTGCTCTCACTTATCTCCAATACGGCACCACAAATCAAACACATGGATCGACAGTATTTACACATATATATCGAGATGTTTCTGCAATTATTCTACGTGTCCACCAGGGATTGCTGTTCTACTTACTTAGCATGCATGCTGAGGTTTTAAGGTTTCACGCTGGCCTGTTTGAAAACCAGTCTCGACCTGTATTGGAACCTCTCTGTGCATGGGAGGCTTCAATTCATATTCACTATGGAGTTTCACGCCGGTTTCCTACGCGTGTGAAAGCATTTATTTGTATTTGTTTGGATGAGAAGACGTAATCATAGAATAGTTATTATGTTATATCTGGCGCTGCTTCTGTTTCAACAGATGCCTCTGCCTATATTCATAGCAATTTATATATCTATATACCACCTTTTTGTTTGTCAAGATGGTTTGAACAGGCCAGGACAACCCCTTTGTGCAGTAAAGACTAGAGTGCAATATATGATTATGTCTTAGTTAGGTTTCGACGACACCTTGGATTTAAGGGTTTGCAGAGGTCATGCTCAACGTATTTGTCGCCGTTTGTTTACATGAGTCATTATGGCGCTGCTGAAGAACTGCAACCAATTTTGAACTTTCCAAGGAAAAATTGAGCTTTCCTTGTCATCAACAATACATCAACCTGATATCACTAACATGGGAACCTCTAGTCTGTAGTTCCTCGTGAAGCGAACCGACGATTTTTACCCAAGACCGTTTTAACGATGAGGAATTCTTGCTATATCCAGTGAGTGGGTTTCTATGTCTAACTCAAAAAAACCTGTCAGTGATGACTGAGCATGTGACAAGTAGAATTACATGAACTTTTTAAACCTCCCGTGTTCTTGTTAATGTGCCAAAATCAGATATTACCTCTGTATACTAACAATGTTGTATTGCAAGTATTTTATGTTCTATGCTAAAAAATATGGTGCCAAATATACAGGATTTATATTTAAGTTTTTATGTATGTGTGTGAGCGTGTTTGTGTGTGTGTGTGTGTGTGTGTGTGGGCGTGCACGTGTGCCACTTTTACTAATGATGCATGGGTCACTACTTCGATGCGCACCAGAGAATACGATTAATACTGTCCCATGAAGCTTTCCTCAGATGACAGACCCTGCTGAGGTTTCTGAATGTAAGCTTTAATTCATTTTTTAAAAAACACAACAGCAGTTCTGTAATGTGACGCAGTTGACTTGAATCAACTTTATTTGTGCACTTTGTATCGGTTGTTTGTCCAAACAGGGTATTTTGTTGAGTGATTTATGTACCTCGAAATCAGAGCCATATATATTCTGATGTTGATAATTGATGTATTATGCTATAAAGGACATGCAGTATGTAATAAAGTTTGTTAGTTTCAGCCTGGCGATTATTTGATTTCACTAAAATCACTGGGATTGGGTTAATGTAACACAGATGTAGTACACGATAATGCTTATTATAATCCTAAGCGTTGTTTAAAACCATTGTTAGTATTGTCTTTTCTTATTAGTAATGTGTTATTTATCCAAACATTGATTTGGACAGAGTTTCAGATACATCACGGTAAAGATTTACCTTAAAATTGTTACAAAATGTATTTATAGTTGTACAAAAGAATGTAGATGAAAAAAAAACTGCAAGGAATATAAATGTCATTAAGAGTTACAGTAAAGAGAATAAAGAGAACCAACTGCAAATTAGAAGTTTATTTTACTCAGGATAAACAATGAATTACAAATTAAAGAACAGGGCTGACATTGGTTTAAAAAAAATAATTGTTTCTACCATAATATTTTTAGCATTGACTTATTGCTTATGGTTTTATAGTGTGATCGATTGGTCCACGCAAACCCTGCTTAAGGGTCACACAATGAATATAATTATTATTATTTACAAAAGCATTTTTAAGCTTCATTTTTCTCAACTCATGTCTAATTGTTGCTGTTTTATGGAGAACAGGTTAATTCTTCCTGTTTGGGCCACATAACATCACTTAATTGAAAGTACAGACACTGTAAATATGACATGGAGCCACTGATTCCTTGTAACCAAACATGTTGTTACTCCTTGATTTCATCTTTAATGGCACTCAGCAGAGCCCATACCTCCGAGGCCAAATAATCATGATTGTCCAGGTCAAAAATATCTTTAAAAAGTGGTCTGAATGATGTGTACATCATAAAATATAGTTAAAGAAAGTGAAAAAGAAAATACTGCCCCTCAACCTGCATCCAGACCAAACTTTAATAGGCTCTTCTCCAGCTCCATTTCTCCACTAAGTTTTGGAAATTGGCCAAAATAGTTTTTGCATAATCCTTTTTCAAAAACAAACACCAGTGAAAACATAACCTCCTTAACCTCCTTTCAT